TTTTTTTTTTTTTTAGCAAAAATACTTCACCTGCCTAGAAGACGCGCACTCTTACTTCTCCAGCCATCAACAATAAAAACAAGCGAGGTCATTTTTCGTGAGACAGTGCAGTGGAAAATGACACAATCTTCGAGAAAATTAGAAAAATTGAACTCAAGGCAACGCTGGACTGATAATAACATCCTCCCTTATTTCCGATTCGTGTTTTTCGAGAAAAATCCAACCACCATCTGAAAATATGAACATATTATTTTTAGACGGCGGTTAAGTTTTTGAAAATGAAGCCGTATAACGCAGAAGCTTTTCGAAAAAAATAGATTATACCATCTTCAAATATAAAGTTAAATATACTTTTTGCGGCAGTACGCCAAGAAAGTCTAAAATACCTGGGGACACATTCTGTTGCAAACCACCGCAGGAACTTTTTCTAAGCGTTTACCCTCATATTCAACAATGTAATCGAACGGTGCAATACCATGCCCACGCTGCAAACGAAGAATAAGTTATCAGAAGTCTTACTAACGTTTTATCAAAACCACAAATAAATATGGCAAAATGTTTCAAAAAATCAACCTAAGCCTGCCTCACAATAAGGTATGTGCAGTGTCAAAGAAAAAGCACCTTTTTACCCTTTATTATTGCAGGATTAGAACTGTATAATACCGTCCATGACTTATAGTAACACTAGTTTGTTAATTACAGTAAATCAATGCATTTTTCAGAGACTAACTTCCACGATGACAAATCTTCCTCGTTAAAGCCGGAACTTTCAGCCTTCTAAGTAAAAGTCAGCGATTTCGAAGGAAGAAGACAGTTCAGTAACAAAAAAAGACATATATATTTATTTATTTACGAAAAAAGGATGATAGAAAAATTATTTTTCTCAGTAAAAAGTCATTACCACTTAACGTCCCCCGCTCACTAGGCTGTATCAAGGTAGCCACAGAGTTACTTACTACAAAGAAATGCTATTTGATAAATACCCATGAAAAAATTTCGTGAATGATTGAAGCTATAAAATTTATATTTATCCTCCACCAGTAAAAAAGTACTCAAAACTATGGTTTAAGCAAGCTTTTCATTTGCACAAGAGTGAAAAAACCGCATTCTCCCATTTTATAAAAAATCGACTTCGTTAGTGGGTACTAAAAATGTAAGAGTGGCTTTGAAGCATTAAAGCTCTAACAAGAACTTATTTAATCATAACTTACGCAAGAATTTAAAATCCTGATTGGTTTAATACCCTTTTCCATCGAAGATGTACCTTCCGGTAAAACTAAAAGAAAACAAACACTTATTAGGTAAGGCACTCTACCAAAACGTTAAAACTTACTTGGGACCTTCTCAAAGACAGCGCTTGACGAACCATCAGCAGACGCAGAAGGTGAAAATGGCGAGGACTTCACGTGTTTCGAACTACGATTACTTGTAGTGATCGTCATTCTCCTAAACCGAAGTAAGTAATGTCGCAAAGGTACCTTGGTCCCTACATACTAGAAGTAAACAACAATTGTGTTTTTGAAGCAAACAACAACTTAATCTGCAAAAGAACAACAACTTGCCATGCTAGGCAAGAGTCCATATATTCCTACCTTTTATTAGGTGACAGATCCCTTTTCTTGCCACAGCGAAATTCTTTGATTAATTCACCACATTCCTTAATTGCAAAATTCTACTTATCACTATTAGACAAAAGCAAAAATATAAAATTGAATAAAAAAGAGCACAGCAAAAGCCGCTCAGTAACAATTTTTCCAAAAAAAATTCAACTAACAAGGTTGCTTTCTGGTTCCCAAGAATTTTCATTGTTTCCATACCCTTCCCATTTTAACAGAAACTCATTCTGTAATTTCTTCGGGTTATACCGTTCGGCAAGTATACGTTCGACTTCATATAGCGGTTTAGCAGTTTCTCTTTTTTTAGACGGCACTAATTTTTCACTTAACTGAAAAAAAAAAACAACCGTAGTGAGAAAACACGTGAGTCCTACGAAGTAAAGTCAAAATTCAATTGGAAGCAGTAATCATGGTAGATGAGTAAAAAGCTACACTAACGAATAAAATTTCAAATTAGACGTTCACAGTAAACCTGAATGAACATTTTATATAGAAAATCAATGCCGCATCTACATCGGGATCATGAAAACTAAGGGGATCTTCTACCGTCACCGTCAGAACAGTAAAAATGCTTAGACGGACCTTTGCGGTATAATGCGATTTGCTTAAATCATTGTAGTCATAATTCAATTTTAACAGTAAATGAACGTTATCACTAATACACTCCTTTAAGAACATGATTTGCAAAACTGTCGAAATTTTATTCATGATTTCAGTTTAAAAGCAAGATCTCGAAGGAATGAAGATGTCTGAACCACAAAATGAATTTTCAGTTGCTATCTTGGAGTACACACTGTAGAAGACAGCCAAAAATTAACCCAGACAATTTCAGTACTACGCTGTTGCTGCTCACCGTGTTTTCAGCTGGCCTTTCAAAAAACTGCAGCATGACATCTGAGAGTCTGCAAATTCGATCCTCTACTGCTTCTGTTCAATCGTTTTACAAGAAATGAACCAGATGACTGGAATACTTCCAGAAAATCAGATGTCTAGGAAGTTCACAAAAGAACTTAGAACTCAAAATCGACATAAAAATCAAGCTTCACGCCAAGAAAGAATATCTTGGCCGAAAAGGAGAGCTTTTTAATAAACATTTAGGCCAATATTTCTCATGCATTTTGACCGATCTCATCCCTATCAATCATTTCTCCATCCCTCCTGGACGTCAGTGCACTCTTCTATATTGGCTTTTACCTCCACTAACCTAAAAATAAAGGGAGACCATGTATATAACTGTGTTTATTAATTGGACTTCCATTGCGAAGAAACACATCGGTCCTACAAGCAATGCTCTTATCAGAGGATTCCCAAAATTCCCTATCCTTCAGAACTAGCCTTAAATCTTGAATATCACAACCGTTGTCCAGAAGCTTCATTGCTCTTCCCTTTCCCCTACCTGGAGCGCTCAATTCTTACCTAAAAAGCAATAATTTCCAATTTTTTGATGCACATGTAGTGGTGCAGAAAAAACTGAAAGAGGATAAAGCCAAAAAAAAAGGAAAGTGGCACGGACTGAAAAAAGTTAGTCTTCAAAAAGTGAAAAATAAGTAAAATAATCCCAACCACAAAAAAACGTAAGCTGAACCAAATTACCGACTTTTCAGATCAAATTCAAAACATTCAAATTTCCACAGCTTTAACTTTTCCAAAGAAAAAAGCCCTTTTGTATGCAATTTTTTAATCTAGAGGTGCTATACAAAGCGGGCCCCCAATAAACGCTTGTCACTGGTAATTAATGACCACTGCGGGGGGGAGAGAGCATTATCTCCCGAATTCCAAACCATGAAAGAAAACAGTGACTTGAAATAAGAAACCCTTTGTAAAAGCTGAAATTTTGGCATATGAACTTTCACTGTTGCCAGAAATACCTGACTATTCCCCACGTCCCTCTGAAGTAACAGAATTGAAACTTTTTGCTGAATGATATGCAATTTAGTTGAACCCCCCAACAACTAACTGCGCGTGGTAAAACAGAAATAAAAAACTCCCCTGCTGCTTATTTCGTTCCTCTTCATTAAAACTCTGCCAATTTCTGCCAGTATTCTCTTTTCAACTCAAATACTGTCTAAGGAATGATTTGTAATTTAATGAAACTCTACAATGTGATAAGTTTCCCTTCTTCTTCATTACCCTGTAACATTAAATTAAATGTTAAAAAGAAGGAGATTTAGCAACAAAGATTTAGTTGTCAACAAATTTACAAAGTTTTCTTCAACAGCCTCCAAAAAATTTTTCCACGCAACTAAATGTTACACCAGTCGGGAAAAAATGCCTTTTTCAGCAGCTCTGCTATCTGTAATTTAAAATTTGTTTATAATATGATAAACAAGAACTGCAAAGAGCAGAGAGAGCAAAATATCGTTTTCAGCCACTTTTCACTCTTTGTAAGTATTACTAGCTTTACATTTACCAGTTCACCACTTTGGATAAAGGGAATTTTTTTAAAATAACACTGCAAATCGCAAATGGAATGGAACAAGTAAGTCGCTCCCTATCAAAAAAATTGAACATTTCCACCCAATTTTAAAACTAGTGTCAAATTCTTCTGAAAGTGGATGCATCAGCAAAAGAAACTGAAGCACTCACAAGTGACTGGACTAAAAAATGACATACCGAATCGGAGTGCGAATTAGCGTCAAGAATATCGAAGGCAATCTTGCTAATGAAAATTTGCTAAGACGGGTTGAAAGGAGTTGTGAAGATTAGTACAAACTGTATTTGATAACATGAGTGTGGTGGCCAACTACTTACCGAATTAGTTCTGTTTCTGGAAGACCTTACTGAATCGTTCAATTCATTATGAGGCTTTCTAATCGCAGCCCGGAGGTCATACCTTCGCCGTAAGTTGGCAACCATTCGGAATAAACTGCAAAAAAAATTTTTTCATTTATTTTAACCCACAAACTAAATAAACTCCGCGAATATATTCCATTATTTGAAACAGATATATCTAACAGGTAAAAAACGTATAAAAAATCTTCCTTCCAAATAAATAGCGACAAAGAAACCAAATCGCTTTGCCGGATCTTCCACAATCGGTGGGTGTGCGCAAGATACATCTATAGCAACACAAAAAAAAATTTTCTCTTCTGTTCAAACGACATTCATTCTTTTGGAATACTTCTAGTGAAAAACTTCCAACAATTCAAAGAAAAAACCTAAAATGCTCTTCATCATAATAGTAGATCTGAGTAAGACGAAAAAAAAAAAACACCCAGTCTTGTAGAACAGTCAGTTTATAAATGAATTTCAAAAATAACATTTAGTAAAAATAGTAAAATAACATTAGTATAGTAGAAAAAATAGTAAAATAACATTCGCAGAAGCATTTTCGTAAGTCGACCAAAAATCGTTAATGCTGAAGCTGCAATTCGAAAAACACATCCGAATAGATAGTGTAGAATACATATGACTCAGTCATATGTTTACGTAAATCAATCATCACAACAAACACTCGTCAGCAGTATCAAAAACAATGACGTCATCCTGCAGTTTATAATAGCAAAATGAGGGGTGGAAACAAAAGAAGAACGGGGGATGCAAGACCGAATTCTATTTTTCAGCCTTCCTTTTGTTGTCGTTGCCGTTGCCGTTGCCGTTGCCGTTGCCGAAAACAACATTGCTGAAGACTGAAATAAACAAAAAATAATGCAACGACCAAAAGCCGCTTGTAGAAGTGCGCGAACAACTGAATACACGGCAATAATTTACGCGTTCAGCAGCTGCTATTGCTGCTGATACAGTTGGATACAACGTAATATAATGTGGAGAAAAAATAGTACCGCTGTCTACGGTAATTGACTTTTAACAAAAAGGCGCTCTTATTATCTGATAACATGAATAACCGCATAAACATTCAGTGCTAATTAAGAGGCAAAGAAAAAAAAAAAGTGCTGTAAAATATTACTTAGAAATACTTGTTGGTTCTCGTTCCATCAGTTGCCTACCACTCAGTTACGGCACTATAATCGTGGCTAAATGTCAAAGGTGACGCAAAATAAACAACTGCAAAAAGTGGTGGAAAAAAGAAAACGGTGGAAAGAATTCGATTTAGCATTATTTTTGACTGGAATCTAGTGTTAAAGAACAGTAAACTAAAATCTACTCAGCATATCAACACTGGAAATTACGAGTCCAGGTTGGCACAAATGCCGTCCTTTCTAGAGATTAATTTTTTTTTTTTTTAATTAATTAAACTAAAAACTCGGGAAAAAAATTTTTTTCCACTATTGCTCAAATATTTCTTTTGGATGTACACAGTAAAAGAAAAAGCCTTAACTGATTTTTGAAATAGTTTTGTAGACTTTTTTCATTAAGTATTTTTTGCTGCCAAGTGAAAAGAAACATTTTAAGCTTATTTTTGTTGAAAGAAATATTCTTTTAAGAGCAAAATAAAATTTATTTATTTTTTCCTAAGAGAAAAAACTATATTTTAAAATGCGGATTAACAAGTGTTGTGAATATCGTCGTAACTGTCGAACAGTGGATGCTATTTTTTTTGCAGTGTTTTGCACAGTAATGTTGCAATCAAAGCTTTGACAAGCGGAACAGTCACTGCAACTTCCATGAACTTGCTCACAAAGAATTTTTACTAATTCAGACAGAAACAGATAGATCTTATATACGTTAAACCTTGCAACACTATACTGGACCCAAGTGCCTTTTAAAAGCTGAAAAAATATTTCGAAATATGCCTAAATCTGGATGAGAACGTTCTATTCACAACATTTAGAGAACCTTTTAAGATGTTTACCA